ATTAAGTTGTCCTGATATTTGAGAGTTTCTCCTACAACATTTCTGGAGGGACTGACTTATATCGTACTGGTGGGCACTAGCGGATCCAGGATTTATTTTTTGGGGGAGGGGCTTCAGCCCGAAAGTTTTTTTTTCATAAAAATAACGATAATTACTTCGGAAAAAAAGAAACTAACTACCTATATGAAATTGTGTTTAAATGATTCCTAAAGCCCTTTTAAATGTAATTACACGAACAATAATACTTTGAGGGATAAATTTTTAATATTTTTTTCCATAAAACATGGTTATATTTTCCCATTTTGGGGGGGGGGGGATTTCCAGACCGAAAGCCCTCCCCCCCCCGCCGTAGATCCGCACGTGCTGGTGGGGATAGTAAAAGGGAGAGGAGTTTTTCTTCTATTGTTTTGCAATGGTGAATTATTTTATTCATTATTTATCTAATTTATGATTTTTATATTGCTATTAACTTAATTCTTATATTATATGCGAATATTGTTAATTACGTGTGAATAAAAAAAAACAAAAAACAAACCTGTACCACTACAACCCATGAAGGGTCTTGGGTGCAGTACAATGTGAGGAAGTACTGTTACAAGGCCAACGGTAGTGCAGGGAGGTGACGGGCCAATATCACGCTCAACCACCAGGTTTTCCACCTTAATTATTTTTTAAATTAAGGGTAGCCACTTTAAAGAGGCTGGGTATGCGCCAGGAGGGTCTCTTGATCCCAGGGTCGATCCACAGCTAATGAAAAATTACTAGTCATTAGCCGGATTCGAACATTTGCGTAAAAGTTATTTATATTGTCCGCATCTGTATGTTTGTTAACTGAACTCTTCAAATTTTTAGTGATATTGACTCTATAATTTTTCTTTTAATGTTAATATTTTCCTTATATAGCATTTCCAAGTCAATTTCAACCTTTTACCAAGCCAAATTCAACCTTTTCCAAATCAAATTAAACTTTTTCCAAGTCAAATTCAACCTTTTCCATTTCAAATTAAACCTTTTCCATTTCAAATTCAACCTTTTTTTATTTATTTAATTATCTTTAATTTTTCGATGTGTGGGTCTGTTATCGTATGAGTAGTTTTTGAAAATAACCTCCTTTTTAAGATTACGTGACTGAGTTTCGAATTATTTAAGTTTTTTTTAATTATTCGATATAAGGGTGTATTTTTATGTTTCCCGATCAGTAAATTTTGAAAATGACATCCATTTTATGTTTACGCCACTGTGGTTTGATTTATTTAAGTTTTTAGAATTTATCCAATATAAAGGTCTACTTTTATGTTTCTGGAGCTGTAGATTTTGAAAACGACCTCCATTTTAAGATTAGGCCACCGCGTTTTGACTTATTTGAGTTTTTCGGATATTTTTCATATGGGGTGTATTTTTATGTTTCCGGGGCTGTAGATTTTGAAAATAACCTCCATTTCATGATTACGCCATTGCATTTTGACTTATTTAAGTTTTTCGAATTTATCCAATTTAAAGGTCTAATTTTATGTTTCTGGAGCAGTAGATTTCCCACATTTTGTAAATGACCCAATTTCAAGTTTATGCCACTGTGTTTTGCATTACAAAAGTTGTTTTTTTTACTTTTTCGGTATCTTTAATATTTAAATTTATCTAATATTTAAGCTCCATTTTATGATTAAGCCGCTGCATCTCGAATAATTAGGCTTCATTTTGGATTTTTTCAATACAAAGTTTCATCAATATGTTTTCGAGTATGAATAAATAAAAAAATATTATGAAGCTAAAGTTAAATTAACCACAGAATACAAACTAAAAAGCCGAAAAGCAGCTGGTAATAAATTTAACCTTCCGTATTCCGATTTTTCAGCTAATTGTTCGAAATCTTATAATTTTGTGACAAGAGACCACAAAATTAAAAAAGATAACTAAAATTAAATTAAAAATGAGACAATACATATTTTATTTATTTTGATTAGATATTTTTATTTATTTATTGAAAAATAAATTAATCCTTCGTATTTTGTTTTTTATTCAAAGGAAAAATCAAAAACACTTAAAAAAACCGAAACACAGTGGCCTAATCTTAAAATGTAAGTCGTTTTAAAAACTAAGGCTCCGGCATCATAAAAGTAGACCTTTAAATTGGATAAATTCGAAAAACTTGAATAAGCCGAAACGCGGTGGCATAATCTTAAAATGGAGGTCATTTTCAAAATCTACGACTCCGGAAACATAAGAACACACTCTTTTATGATAAAAATTCTAAACACTTAAAGAAATCGAAATGCGGTGGCCTAATCTTAAAATGGAGGTCGTTTTCAAAATCTATGGTTCCGGAACATAAGAATACATCCTCATATGAAAAATATCCGAAAAACTCAAAGAAATTGAAACACGGTGGCCTAATCTTAAAATGGAGGTCGTTTTCAAATCTACGGCTCCGGAAACATAAAAGTAGACCTTTATATTGGATAATTTCTAAAAACTTAAATAAGTCAAAACACAGTGGCGTAAACATAAAGGATGTCATTTTCAAAATTTACTGATCGGGAAACATAAAAATACACCCTTATATCGAATAAGTCAAAAAAACTTAAATGATTCGAAACGCAGTCACTTAATCTTAAAGTGGGGGTTATTTTCAAAACTATGTACAGGACAGCATAATACTAGTCCCTAATAAATCCGAATAGGTACAATAAATCGATATCCGTAAGTGAAAATTCTACTTAGGAGAGCATAATAATAGACTTTCATATTTGAAGGGGGGAGGGGATGGCCATTATTTAAAAAAAAATATAAGATTTATAAAAAATTAAAACATTAATTTGAAATGAAAACGGTTGAATTTGAATTGGAAAAGGTTTAATTTGAAATGGAAATGGTTGAAATTGACTTGGAAAAAGTTTAATTTGATCTGGAAAAGGTTGAATTTGACTTGGAAAAGGTTGAATTTGACTTGGAAATGACATAGAAATATCACACTGAAAAAATCTAAAATGTTAAAATAAATGGATATGCAACCGCGTTATCAAAATTTTTTTTGTATTTTTCAAAAGCTATGCCTTCGGTAATATAGTAAGTGGCCTTCATTTCGAAAAAAAATCGAAAATTGACAAAAATTCGAAAGTTGAATTTGAAATGGAAAAGGTTTAATTTGACTTGGAAAAGGTTGAATTTATTTGGAAATGCTATATATTATTTTAGCATTTTAAAAATCAAATTGGTGTTTATTATATGTTGTGTTGTGAAAGGCCGGTTGATGTGTTTGATTTTTTCTTACAATTTTGTTCTTGTTGTTTTATTCTTTTTGCGAACCATTGTCGCGTTTGTCCTATATATGATTTATTAGTGCAATTTTTACAATTTATTTTATAAATAACGTTATTTTTCATGTCACGTGATATATTATCTTTAGTATTAGTATCAATTTTTTCAATTTTATTTACTGGCTTTTTACCTAATTTAATTTCAGACAGATCATATTCCCTGAAAGTCCTTTGAATTTTACTAGTTAAATCTTTAATATAAGTTTTGAATGATATTTAGTGTTAAATTGTTCAAATTTATTTTCAAATTGTATGCAATATATATTTCATATTGCATTTTTATGGTTGTCAGACGTGTTTATCTATCTAATAATGAGTTCAATGTCAGCTATAATGTTCATTATTTCTTTATCATGATTATTTGGTATAACATTAAATTTTTCACCCAGAGACAACACATTTATTAAATTTAACGGTATATTTATGTTTGTTGTATTAACGGTCCAGTCTTTATTATGTAATCCTTCATATGCATTTAGAATATAATATTATGTTATGTACTATTTTTATTATCAATCTGACCTCCTATTATGTTTTTTGATTATAGCATTATAGTCTATTTGCTTTAATTGTCAGTTTCATTCTATAGTAATCATTATAACTGGTTTTATATTATTTATATTACCTGGTTATTTATTTTCTGTTATATGTAGTATAGTCGACTAACTTCCTTCAATAATTAAAATCTGTAGGTTTGGTATAAATATTATAATATTTATAAATTATTGAAGGAAGCTACTCGACTGTTCTACATATCATGGGTGATAAATATTTAGGATGCAGTCATTATAAAAATTTTTTATTTATGCAGACGTTTCAACCCGAACATGTGGGTCATCATCAAGGCTGAAAATTTTAAAATTTGTTTTTATTATTTTAAAAGTAATGAAAGCAATAGCCAGTATTAATATAGGTGCAGGATCTCTAGTCCAGTTATAAGTCCAAAATAATAGATTTTGTCATATTCTGTAGCTGATTTCTTTCCACACCCAAAATTTCCAAAATATTATCAATTGAAAGAGGAATTTCATCTCTACTTATGAACCAAAAACTCTCTCTCACAAACCTCCTCAGACGATCTTGGATAAGCTGCAAAAGCTTATTATTTTCAGTAAAAAAATAGGACTAAAAAGGGACTTTTTAAATAGTAAAAAAGAATAATTGAGTGTAGATTACCCATCTCATATTACTTAGATTGCAACATTTATGGTTTGCACTTTGTGCGGATCAGTACTCAAATATGCTTTTCGAAAAATACAAATAAAGTACTCAAATATGCTTTAGGTATAGGTATAGGCTTTAACATAGGTATAGGTTGCAATAAGAGTTTACCTTACACTACAGGCTGCTATAATAATTAGTTTAATTTGTAATTATTAAATTGTACCACAGAAAAACGGTTTCCTTTTTTAAGTGATAACAGAGATGAGTGAAAAAAACCTGAAAAATGTACATGAATTTTTTTTTTGAAAGAGAAGCGTTGGACACCCTGATCATAGAAATTCAATTCCATTTGAATGGGCTCACCCGAAAAAAAATAAAAAGTTTATGATTATATTAGTAAGACCACCAATAATGAACATAGAACCAAAATAAAAAATGACAACATATATCATTAAAATTAAATTTCCTTTTATTCATAATCTTCAAACAGTAATTTATACTATTTAAAAATATTATTCTTACCTCCATAAGGTGCTGGATACTGTCCTGCAAGTATTGGGTAACCAAGACCAACATGAGTGTGATGGTGGGTATGAACATGCCTCTGAGGAGGTGGAGACCTACTTTCTTTGTTGTCAGCAGAAGTTACTTTGCCTTGCCCTTGTGTTGCAACCGAAGATGTAACAGGCACAGCAGTGACTGAGCTTGAGGAAGGGGAAGAAATGGTAGTGGTTACTTTTGGAGTAGGAGATTTAATAGCTCTTTCTTGGAGTTCATGGATTTTGTGAGAAGGGTGAGTATAATATTGACTTGCATGGTGTTGTAATAAATCCAATGCCTTACCACTTTGCCCTCGAGAAAGGTCTTCAGGAGCATATCTTGGAACAGCATGTAGCTGTGGATGTAGGTATGGTGAATTTGGGTAACTTGAAACAAGCATAGGATTCATACCTCTATACATTGGATGGCCAGGATCAAAAGGCAAAGCACCATAATGTGGTGATTGCATGTAACCAGGATGAATATAAGCATATTGAGAAGTTGGGGGAGGTGGAGGACCTTGTGTTTCCATGGTAGGTTTAACACCTTCTTGCTTCTTCTCTTCTACTCTGTCTTTTTTTTCTTCTGTTTTTTCTTTTTGTTTGGGACTAGGTATAGGATGAGACTTCTGGGGAGGAGGAGTCGCTTTAGTTGAAGAACCTTCTTTTCTTTCAGGGTAAATATAAAACCTTCTGACATCCTCCTGGCCTTGTTGTTGCCTTTGGTAAATAAAGGAATTATTTATTTGATTCTTCATTTCAATGCTTTCTTTAATAATTTGATGATTATCATTTTGATGTTTTTCTTTTGAAATAGGAGTATCGTTTGATTTTATTTTAGTGGGATTTGGAATGTGTAATGTTGATGTAGTTATCTGTTTTGTATCAGAAGGCTGACTCAACTTTTCCTCTTTTTTATCATCGATGACCACTGGATAACCATCCATATTAAATGGATATCCAGGAACATGAAAACCATACTGATAATAATGTTGAGACAACATCTTTTGTTGATGATAGTCACCATCCTTCTTTTCTTTTTCTGGTATCTTCCCTTCAATTTTATCTGAAGGATTATCTTTTGATTTTTCAGAAACAGATGGTACCAAATATGGAGGCTGCCCATAGTAAGGATACATACCATAATGCTGAAGTTGTGGGGATTGGCAACCTTTTTTGTCATCAGTAGTTTTAGGTTTACCTTCTACTTCTGATTCTAGTAATGGAGCAGCATCATCAGATATATCTGAATATGCCGGAGATTGAACACCTTCCCGCCCAGTTTCTAAGCCTAATGCAGGTGGTTCGAGAGGACTAGGATGTGGACTACTAGCAGGAGATTTCCTACTCTTTTTCTTAGGATTTTGTGGAGTTTTTGCAGTATTATTAACTGTAGATGAGGAAAGAGCCTTTTTATCTTCTGACATTAATGCAGAGGCTGGTTTCACTTTGAATGGAGGAACTTTAGTCAATGTAGGAGGTTGAGAAGGGATATTCAATGGAGGTTCTATGACTGGAGGAGAAGGAGTTGAAGGTGTAGTAGCTCTAATTAATGGGGCAGGGCTGTTATGTGAATCTTCGTTACTAAAAGGAGACTGTATGAGAGATTTTTCCTCTGTTTCAGTTGCTTCATCTATTAGAGGAGCAGTAACTTCATTGTTCTCTTCTTTCTTGATGTCAACTATAACACTAGGATCTTCTTCTTCAGAAGTACCAGATTCTTTTGTTTCTTCATCATCTGGTGAACCATGTGCATGGGACTGATGATACTTGAGTCCATTAATATGCTTATATTTTTTTGAACAGTTTGGTTCAGGACACTCTAGTAATACTGGTGGTGGCAGAGGACTTGTTGGTTGAGAGGGTGTAGCTTTTCTTTTCGTAGATGGTTCTTCTTCATGAGATTTAGTTTTTCTTTTGCTTGGTGTAGCTTCAGTTTTGGGAGCTGCAAAAGGAGTTGGACTAGCTGCACCAGGACCTCTTCGACCTTTTGGTCCAACAGCATTATTGCTCCTTAATTTGCTATGAACTGAACTTCTTGTTTCAGTGAAATTAGCTAGATCATTAAGTAAGGCATTTGCTGCGCTTCTACCTCTTTTACCTCTACCTTTAGGTGTCCTGATATCAAGATCACTTGTAGGAGAATCACAAAACCTGAAAAATTAAAAATAATTAATTGATACTGAAAAATTAACACATTAAGTAATTTTTAAATAGCATCTGGTGAAATAATTTCTATAAAAGTACTAATTTAAATACAAATAAAAACTCAAATCATATAGACCTTAAATTAAGCATGATACAGTACCTATAATATTTATTAATTCAGTGTAATTGCATTAAAAAAATAAGTATCAATATATAAGTTGATCAATGCACTCAGCCCTCAAATCTATTAAAAGAAAAATTAATCAATATAATTTGTCCATAAGTAATAGCTTTTCCATACTAACTGACGATAAAAATCACCAGAAATCATCAAGCAAATCAACAAATAGCATCAATCAAATATAACAAATAACAGAAATCAAAATATTCCTTCCAATAGTTGTCAATAAAATATTAGATCAGTGGTCTTAAACATATGTAGTTTGTGAACCTTCTCTCGAAAAATATTTTTAATCCATCGATGTTAGATAATCCAGGACTCAGTGTTTAGGAGTTTTTTCATTGCCCACATTTCAACTCTTGTAGGTTGAAATGAAATGTGAAATACATTTTTCAGTCGTGATGATGACCCACAAGCTTGTATTGAAATGTAAGCAATAAAAAAAGCTCCAAAACATTGACTAAGTCATGATTATCTATCAGCCATGATATGTAGAATAGTAGACAAACTTCCATCAATAACATTTTTAATAATTATGTTAATGACTAGTTATGTCAACAACTACTTAGATAAAAACAAATGTGAAATGTTTACACCATGCAGTACTTATATTAAATGAGTTATTTGATTAAAATCAAGAAGTGGGGATATAGTTGAAGGAATAAACATTAAATATAGAAGAAACAAAACTACAGTGGACAATTGCTAATTCTGGAAAATTCCATAAACCGAACCACCTCATAAAAAAAAATCTTACGTGTTGAGGCTTAAATTAAAAATACCAACTCCTTTTATTTAAAATCCACACTATGTACATGTAATTAACCTTTTCATGAAATTAATTTCCAGTACGAAATGGTATTGTTAATACAATTGTAGTGATCGTAGTGAAACAAAAAGATTGTTTTATTAGGTTTTTAACACTATCCCTCACCTTGGGTATTTCTTTCTTAGTAATCAACATCACTACTAACTTTTCCCCTTGTCAACATTAAGTTTGGCAGAGAAAGTAACAATGATAAATTGTCTTGAGAGGTGAACCTGGAAAATTAATAGCAGTGGAATTCATTCAAGTCCACTATCTCTGATATAAAAAAAAAAGATTTTTTTTTAAAATTTTGTTACTTCCATGGAAAAAGTGCCAAGTACAAGACAAACCATAAAATTTAGCAAAGCAGTTTACTCATAGTTTCTGCAACAAAGATCACATCATTAAAGACGCATTGCCATCCATTCTTCCGATCCTTTATCATATATATAATTATTATATATCAATGCTACCTTATTACGCTTCAAAATGCTACCTTCCCTACATTCTGGAAAACCGCCCTAGTACGCCCCTTGAAGAAGACCTCAAACACATCAGCTCTTAATGATTTCAATTCTTTCAAACCTCTCAAAACCTTTAGAGTGATTAGTCCAATCCCAGCTATCCCATTTTTTAGAGGACAATTATCTCCTAAATCCCTACCAGTCTGGTTATCTACGACTGTTTCCGAATCTTCCAAATTTCTGTATATTCTTAAATGATCAATAAATGTTCTTTATTGGATTTTAGCATGTGTCCCTCTTGCGTTACCTTGGGTCCATGAATCTTCCTCCCAATCTTCAGGATTTTCTCTAGGCTCGGAAGGCTGACTGTTTCTAATATTACAGGTCTTGCTACTGTACAGTAATGCCTTATTTTTGCATTTGAGGACAAATTTTTCTTGTAAACATTCCTGGTGGTGAAGTTCAGTCTTTCCAGTTTGGTTATTCTTCCTTCGATTGATGCCTTATCCGTTCCGTTACTACATATTATCTTCCCTAGGTATTTAAACTTTGGTTTTCCCTTTGGTCAATGGTCACTTCTATTTTCTCATAAGAGATATGTAGTCCCATTTTCTCGGATATTTCTTTCAGGGTGTTTACCTGTTAAATGGCTTCCTCTTCTGTTTCTGCTAGTAGGGCTAGATCATCTGCAAAGACCAGGCACCTTACTTTCACATTGTCCTTCTTTGCTCCTATTACTATACCTGCCTCGTGCTTTCACCAGAATATTGTCATAATTTTGTCCAACACTACATTAAAAAGTATCGGTGACAGGACCTCGCTTTGCCTAAGCCCCGTATTAATTTTGAATGGTTCACTTATTAGTCCCTGGAATTTTATTAAAATTTATATTTTATGAAATGGTGTTGGTCAGTGTCAATTTTATCAAGCTTATTGTTTTTTGGTCTATTCCGTATTCTCTTAGAACTAGGAGCAATATATCCCTGTCTAATAATGTTTGCAAATTTAATATATATTATTAATTTTTGTAAAAATAAATATATTTAATTTAAATTTATTTATTACCAGATCGGCCTGGTGGGCCTTACATGGTTGTTGTAACAATTTGGTGATTTTTAACAAAAAATAAATATATGATAAATTAAGAAGAATATCTCATTATTTTATGTGAATATTACTGTGTTCATTATCACTCCTGTAAATAAAACTGTATGCATTTTTAAAGGCTTGTATCTTGATGCAAATATTTGTATTCAGACCAGTAAATTTGCCATAAAATAAATATTTAATTTTTGATTAAGAATATTTATGCATACTTTTATGTGAAAACATGTTCTTTACCATACCTGTAAATACGACTATATTTGTATTTAAAGGAGTGAATGTGTTAGCAAATATATATATTTAGACTTGCAGATTTGAAATGAAATACATATTTTTTAAATAAAGAAAAATATTTATCCATAACTTTATTTGATTATAATAATATTCTACATCACATATTTAAATACAATTAATTTTATACAATAAAATTTTATTAATATTTGTTAAGTAATAAAGAATATTTATACAAACTTTTTTGAGAATACAACAAAATTCTTTACTGCACTAGTAAATACAGCCATATTCGTATTTACAAGAGTGAATACGATAGCAAATATATGTATTTAGACTTGTAAATATGAGAGAAAATAAATATTTTTTAAATAAAGAGGAATATTTATCCATAATTTTATGTGAATATAACAATATTCTATGTCATATATTTAAATACAATCACTGAGGAATGAGGAGACTTTCGGGCTGTAGTCCTCTAATATAGAAAATTTTATTTTTTTAGATCTATTTTTATTTTTAAGTGTAATCTGGGTTAAGTACTTAAACAATTACATGGGTGATAAATATTTAGGACAGTCATTATAAAGTTTTTATTGGTGCTGATGTTTCAGCCCAAACTTGAATAACTTGAGTGCTTGAAACATGTTCTGATGACGAACCACATGTTTGGGTTGAAACATTGCTACCAATAAAAACTTTATAATGACTGCCTCCTGAATATTTATCACCAATGATATATAGAACTGTCGACTAATTTCCTTCAATAAAAAATTACAATATGTATTCTTTTAAAATTATAATGTATATAAAGTTATAAAATGAAAGCACATGTTAAGAAAAAATATATAAATATTTTATCCCTGAGGAGCGGGGCAGCTCAGTGGTAGGGCACTAAGCTTCTGGTGCTCAAGGTCCCAGGTTCAAATCACTTTTTTATTGTTTTTACTTTTTAATATTGTTTTTTTTTATTTTATAAGGTCCCAGGTTCAAATCCATTTTTTATTGTTTTTTTAATTTTATTATTATATCATTAATCATATTATCTTTTAAAAATTTTAAATCATTATTATATTTAGCCAGATGAAGGCCCTAAACTGGTTCAAATAACGTATCTTTAGCAATATAAGGCTTTTATTAACAAAAGATGTTAACATGTGAAAATGTGTAAGCATGAATAGAACAATAACACTACAAATAGATATTAAAATAGAAGAGGTTACAAATAATTAGTAAAAACAAAGAGATAGGAAGTAATGATATCATCTCATTCATCCCCCCTGAGAAGTGACATAGTCGTCTAGGTATCATTGTCAGGTCTTCATTCTACTGGATTTTTGAAAAGATTGTATTTCAATCTCTGCCTCAGCTTCAGTAGATCTTTGAAGGAAGTCTTCAGTTATTTTATTTCCCTCTTCGTTTCTTTTAGTATGAGTCAGTTCCTCATGATTTGCGATTTGCTGCCTTTACACAAGTTCTTATCTTGCTTTGAAGGGTGATCTGTGCTTGTCTGGGTCCCAGAGGAAGCTAGATGCCTGGGGGATACTGTATCTTCCCGTCCATCTGGAAAGGGTACATAAGTTGGGTTAGCTTCAAGGAGTTCGACCTCTTTGACTGCAGGATTGTACTTACTTCTTATGTTGGGATATCTCGGGAAAGCCTTTCCAGAAGTCATTAACAAGGAGGATAAGGACACTCCATTAGGCGTTTTTCCTTGAAAATTAAAAAGTTGTTCGTGCAGAGTGCAGTTAGTTGTGGTGCATAGAAAAGATCGGATGGAATACAGCGCATTGTCAAGCACTATCTTTCAATGAGCTTCCTTTAGACTTCTTGACTGAACAGCAAGCACAGCAGTTTGCCAAATGATTCCATTGTATCGCTCACACTGGCCATTCCCCTGTGGATTGTAAGGGGTTTTCCTGCTAGTCGCTACACCAAGGCGCTCCAAGAAATCCTTCACTTCATGGGATATAAGAGATGCACCTCTATCGGAATGAATGTAGCCAGGGGTATCAAATACACTGAAGATATTCTTAAAACATTTTATGACTGCAGACGACAACATATCAGGACAGACAAATGCAAATTGGAATCGGCTATACTCGTCCATAATTGTTCAGACGTCTTTGTTCCAAATGTTGGACGGTAATGGCACTTTGAAATCAAAGTTCAGTATTTCAAACGGCTGGGTGACTTTTATTAATGTGCAATCAAACTT